TAATTTTACAAAAAATATAACGTTACTATAGAAATCTATGGGAAAACATTTGGTGTTTTGTAACCGTTACATGTTCAGTTCCAATATGGATTCATCTCGGTTTTGGCCGACACGTGACTTGTGGAACAGAGGTCAGGGGAATGAGTTTCTGAGGTTTCAGTGTGTCTCGGTTCTTCTCCTTGAGCATCCTCGATTTGGCAATGTCATGTACCTTTTTACATTATTATTATATGGATATTTATATAGCGCTATAGTCCATCCCACATGCATACTCAAAGCGCTTCTTTGTTTTCCCCTCGATCAATTGGATGTCAATTCAGCGGCACATCATATTATCAATCTCAACTCCCTGGGGAGTATACAAATCTTGCTGCCACTAGGCGCACCGAGTTAATGCAACTTTCTCATCCTTTCGAGGTACCCATTCACAGATGGGTGGATTGGGACACATAGTCACAGTACTTTGTCCAAGTTTACTGCACGTTGCTGTACCCACAACTAGGTGTTTGCACGTATTCATGTGGCCACCATCTGGTCATATACCAACGGATTCGTGGGTTCTTTTGAGTGCACAGGGTTGCGTACTGTACACTAGGGCTTGTGACAACACTGAAAGAGTCTGCACACAAAGTTGACTCCAAGGTTTTTTACACTCGGTCACAGGTGGGCTCGATCCCGGCATCTCCAAGCTCGCTGGATTACTAGCCTGGCGCCTTAGACAGCTCGCCCACCACGCCTACTTGAAAGGTCAACGTCTACGTCCAGCAGTGAGATCACCCGCCGAGAGCAAAGTGACGTTAAATACATTTCAAATATATTCATATACCTATATGAATTCGTTGAGCAGTGGTGTCTCGGTCGTCATTGTCCCTTGTGCCAAGTAGGAGATTCAGGATCCAGAGGGTTCGAATCCACCATCCGGCACCCTGATCATCATCCACGGCTTTTCCGCATCCTACACGCAATGTTAAAGCCGTTTATTGTTTGGTAGAATCCATGAACACAGTTACGGTGCTGCAAGATCAATAATAATAAAACGGACATCGAGTGCCAGTTGTTAGCATCTCAGAATAACATGATCATGGGTTCGAATCCTATATTATGAATCTTTAGTGTGTCAGCGCCAGATCCACGCGGATCACTAAAGCAGGAGAACGTGTATTACCTGCATTACTCCGGGTTTTCCTCCCATATAAAGCAGACATGCCGTGGTGTAACAGTAAATAATGTTGATGATGTCGTCATACCAATGTATTTTCACCGTCAGTAACAACACTAGGTTGTCGAGCGAAGGTTTTAACCACCCTATGTCAACCACTTTAACACCTGGTGCTTTTTCAGAAAAAAAGAACAAAAGACACGTTATTTCTAGAACATGGGAAAGGTTTATTTTCAAACGTGTACTTTCCAGTAACAAGAGATATTCTCCATGGCTGGAAGGAGAGACAGAGCTCCGAACACACCTGGTAGGGTTCGCATGGTGACGGGATATTAACGCGTATTGTTATAATTTCTTTATTTTGCAGAGTTGAAAGCGTTGTTCCAGAGATGTGGCAGTTTATCCCCGCGTAAGGATGTGTGAGTGAGTGAATTTTACGCCGCTCTTAGCAATATTCCAGCAATATCACGGCGGAGGACACCAGAAATGGGCTTCACACATTGTACCCATGTGGGGAATCGAACCCGGGTCTTCGGCGTGACGAGCGAACGCCTTAACCACTAGGCTACCCCACCGTCCCCGTAAAGATGAGGATGCCGAACAGTCGAAGTATCAACATACATCTCATACATTCAGTCATACGTATTTTACCTCACAGATGATAGGAATGCTTACTGAAAATATAGATTTATATACATATTGAACAAGTGGATTATACACACATCATTTCACTGACGCCACGAACTCAATAACATTGATACAAATAATTATCCTTACAAAATGTAATATAAATGCATGTTCACTGTCGTCGAGTTTCTCATAGAAAATATTTTTACCAGCCAGACAGTGATGGTGAAACTTCGACGAAAATTCTTAATCCGTGTTTTTCAGATTACCTTATTCGTTTTTACATGGCAATGGTATCTTAAACAGATGTGACATTTCTAAAAAAATATCTCTATTTCTTCACAACCAACATGTCTGCATATTTCAAAATGGGACGTTACGCTGCCAATCATTCGTAACTACTCGCCTCTTTCCGTGACCAACAAGAAGACTCGTACCTGTATAGTACGCCATTATTGTAAAATGTGAAATGAGTCAAAAAGTTTCTTTGCGATTATCGATTTTCATGATTATTTCCGTGATTATAAAATTATCTTGTTACTGATATTTATTAACGACAAAAGGAACTTACTTAAAGTGACTTTCGTGTTGTATTATATATATCCAGGCGGAGCCATTTTTGGAAATTCAGAGTTGTCTTTCCTTAGAAATAGTCCTAGACTATTTTCATCTCCGTGTCCGTTTGCGCTTTGACAAGGCCCAGTCGTGAACATGGCCACGAGAGGGGTACGAGTCGCCATCCGGCTTGCCGGAATCACACGAGTAGTTACGAATGTCTGCCAATGAGATTTCTGGACAGACAATTCTTTTGTTACAACAATGCTTCTGTATTCAATACAAAATACAAAAAACAAACAAAAGATCACATCTTACGTACATTCCTGTAACATGTCAGTATAAAAACATTCATATCAGTCGACTTCATTCCATGACAAAAAGTTAATGTAAAACAATATTTCTACAAAAATGGACTTGTGTTTGGTAAGGGTCCGAACATCGTTTGGCGATTCTGCTTGCTATATTTATCAATAGATTGAACGGCCTAAATCTCACCAATGCACTCGTTATACTCTTGTTTGGAAGATAATAAGGTCCAAGCTCACATGCGCACTAGTACTTCAGCCAATTAACGAGCCAACTAACTGCCTTCAGCTGAGACCGAGGAAACCTTCCCATCTGTTTCATATTGAGATCTCATAACAAATATTCAGAGTGACAAAACCTGTCCACTAGACATAAGCGATTCAACGTCATCTTCCCATTAGAAACTTTCCAGCATTTCTCCTTTCAAAACGGTATGATCAAAACCGTGTGATTTACAAGACCTTCTTTTAAGTCAAAATGTTGAAATTCAAGAAGAGGCAGTTTGAAAATGATATAGCCCTCATATATAAAACATGATGTATTCAGTTTCTAAAATTCCACTAGGAAAGCTGAAAATCCAGATTGAGTTTGAACTTTTGATTCAGAAGACCTTGACTAAGGATTGTCAAGCTGGAATATGTGAACAATGCTCTTCTTATCAATCTTCCTCTCGTAGTGATAAAGACAGAAATCTTCCATGTCCTCGGATCCTACTAATGTATTGTACTCGCCTTGTTCAACTTAATCCAAGATTTACAGTGATGCTGGAAATATGGCTATTGTGAAAGTCTCTCCAATGTAAGACAAAACACCCCGACTCATAGATCACGTGAGCTTACAATCCTTAGGTTCAGCCACACACCAAAAGTTACTTTATGCATCAAAACATAGTGCAATTTCTCCAATCAAAGCTTCGTTTTAACACACTGTATCTTAACTTCAAGAAAATAACTAAAATCATGTCATATGCTGTGCACTATATTTGTCGAGGCGTTTGTGGCCCACACACAATTAGTTAATTGCAGAACGTCACATTTGCATAAATGACCCTAAACGTGCATTAGATGCAACGTCGAACATGTCTGTTTTGCGAAAAGGTATTTTCTTCATCGGAAGGAATGCTTGGAATTGACAAATACATTGGTCATTTTCTATGGCCTCATCTCAAAGACAAGGATTCTGTATATATGCGATGACATCGATAATTATGCAAATCAAAAGCTGAAGGCAACAAAGGGAGATTACTCTCATTCACTACCCATCCTAATCTGACTAGATGATAATAACAATCGCTGGTATTATGGTTAAGCACATCACAAACATGTGACAGACATACATATCTGGACAAACACTGGACAAGTAATTATGCTGCACCGAGGGCCGACTGAAGGTACGCTTATGAAAAACGTTTACAAATAACATGGCGGATGAACGGGGTTACACTGAAACATCTAATGGCGCCTAATAACATATGAAAACACGATTTTTATCATCCGAAATCGGATCTTAAGGCCAAGGAGCTTGTTAAGCTACGAGAACCAGAATGAGCCATGGACGACGTGTGCTACTGATACCATTGCTATAACTCCTGATATTTTCTAAAATACTGACGTAATTCATGAAAGATCATGGCAAACGGATCTCAAATGCATTCTTTAACACCGATGACATATTTAACGGTTGATGTTTCAACTCCTGATATTTTAAATATGTATTGGGAACAGTAATGCTTGATAATGGCCAAATGAATACATCTCGTTTTCATGATATACGAGTAAAAGAAACGTAGGGATATTAATTCATGCATTTATACATAATATGTTCATACATGTGGTAAAATAAATGCTTTGATGGTAAACGCCCCATTTGTATTCGTATATGTAGTTTTCATATGTGTATAATTCATGAGATTATGTACATATATTAGTATAGAGATACGAAATTATGTGCAGATATTTGTATGCTTGCCATGCACCAATGATGTAAGTTTATAAACTGTGCTGTTACTGATACAGGATTACATTTCACCGACATGGAAAACGTATGCTCTTAAAAAAAAGTAGGGGAACCTGAACTTGAACAATTTGGATAGGAAGTTGAGTATTAACAAACTTTTCAAAAACATACATCTTATGAATGCACCACAATTTCTCTTCATCACCACCCCTTAACACAACGCATGTGGTGCACGTCCACAACGCAGTAGCCCCATACACGTGCATGGGGTGTCATTCTTGATTTTGACGGTTTTCAAGAAGGTTGATAAATCACCGTAGACCATTAATTTTGGCGATCATCTTGCATCACACAGTTGTTAGTGTTTGTTTCTAGCCGGGGTGTTGGTTTTTTCGTTTGAAAATGAAAATCGTACACATGCAAATTTCATACACCATTCATCTTTCAAGAGCGATTACTATACAAACAATTATGATCATAAGGAAGTGTAAGTGGTGATACACTCGCAGCATCATATCAACTTTGATTGACTTCGATATATCTCCCAATTGTTTTCAATCGTAGATTAAAAATGAAGTTCCCCTACTTTCTTTGAAGAGTATATAACATAAACTTGCTGAGCCAGCAAATTGTTTGATGGTGGCTAAATACGAATAGGAAAAGGTTATGTCGATTAAGTTTTGATAACGTTTGCAATATCAGGGACGTAGCTACCATTATAAAAAAAGCCCGGGCTTACACATGAGTTTTACTATGAAAGTTGGGCAAGCCCTCAATACTAATTAAATATAAAGCTTTGCAACCAATCGGGCTTACATGAAAAAAATGGCTTACTACGCGCCTGAATATTACAGTCAAATCCATGTACTTGCTTTAGCCCGGGAGTACACGAACCCAAAATCTGCCATGACATGGTGAATGAAGTACGACAGCATACCCATAATATCTAAGTGACACAGTAATAACATTATAATAATATCCTTTTTATCATGTAAGTATTTGATGTACCTGATAATTAACATTTTCGAACGGTTTTATTGGTACCAAAACGATATAGATGCAGGTAGAAGCATCGTTCACGGTAATTTTGACCGAGTACCCGACGTCGTGCTTTAAAAACTGTCATAGACACGCCATGGCTGAGGGTACAGTGGGTGAGTGAGGGTTTCCGCCGCATTTAGCATTATTCCAGCATTATCACGACATGGAAAGCGAGAACTGGGCTTCACACGTTGTATCGTGTGAGAAATCGAACCGGGGCTTCGACGGGACGCGCGAACGCTTCAACCACTAGGCTACTCAACCGCCCGGTATTAACAATAGACAAAGAATCACATAAAATGGAAGCGGGGAATTATAGAACGTACATTCACAAAATATTGTGACGTTACAGTGCTGTAATGAGTTCGCGAAACAGTGAAATTGTCTTGCCCCATCAGCAGAGAGCGAGCACCGCTGGCGCAGGTAAACAATGAGAAGGGTTTTAGTACTTCAATCAATTTTGGTACTTCAATCATGGCCCAGGAATAGTGAGTGAATGAGTGAGTGTACTCTTACGCCGCTTTTAGCTATATTCCAGCAATATCACGGTGGAGAACACCTGAAATGAGCTTCACCCATTGTACCCATTTGAGGAATCGAACCCGGGATTTCGGCGTGGGGAGCGAACGCTTTAACAACTAGGCTACCCTACCGCCCCGGCCCAGAAATATGTGTCATAACCTTACATCGTTCAAGCAATGCTGATGGTCGAGTAATACTATTTAGTGAACGCATTGCACCATTGTTATTTTGTCAGTCATTAAAATTTTAGTCAATTTTGAATAATAAAATAACAGTCACCATGGTCAACAAAGTTCGTCTTCTTCTTCACTGAATCTGTGGTTGCCTTGTTGAAGCAACGATCGTCCCATGTAAGCAGCGAACCCAAAGGATTCATTAGAAATGACTTCAGTTTGTCCCTACAATTCACCATCTAGATTTCTTAGGGTAACGAAAATATATATATCATCGTACAAACATAGGCATATATCAAGATACAATTGAACAATATGTGAAAAAACAGACCAAAACTCTCTGGTAATGTTGTGAGTGAAGGCCATGTAAATAATGTTTATTTATGTATCAAAACCGTGAGCAGGGAGGTACCACAATGGAGAATGTCTGTGTTCCACATCTATTCCTCGTCACGATTTTCCTGCGGGATCTTCGGAATCAGAGATTGATTCAACACTTTCGACTGTCTCCGTCCGCTGTACAGCAGCAGCCCGCGTTGGCCTCGGAACAATGTCATGAATCACTATTGCCTCCAGTTTCTCATTGGTCAAAGTAAAGGGAGACAACTGATTTTCAGACATCTGCCGTTGAAGAATTTTTTGATGTCTTGTTCGGGCGTTCATTAATGGTCGCGAGGGGGAGACTTTCTCCACGGAATGGTTCAAGATAGGGGGTTGTTGAAGTGTAATCATTGGCTGCGGATGGCTGGCTGCGCTGGGGCTTAAAAACATTTCGTCCTCATGTTTCACGATTCCGTTGCTACTAGGTGTTAAGGTGTCCCGGCTTGTCGAGGCTTCCTGATAGCTTCTTTCGTGCTTTGGAGAAATTTTTATTGTGTGAGTGTGTTGCACTTCTTTTGATTTACCGTATTCTTCTGAAAAAATAAAGACATGTGTCAGTTACAATGAAAGCCGATTTGTAAGTATTGTTATTGGTAAACTGGCACTAGTAAACTAGAACAATACATTTATTGTGTAAAATTCGGCAAAACGTATTACAACTAAACAGACACAAAGTTAACGAAAATACTCATACAAATATCAAAATGATACAGGGCTGAAAAGAGTCGCTGAAATACTTCAGCCTTGAGGTCGAAACCATAACTTCGATACCCACAAGTAGATGGTCCATCAATAACCATGTTTCTTGTAGCCACTATCAAAATGAAATCGATAAAAACCAACGTTTAGACCCAAAAAAATAATATCTCACAACACACGGACTGAATCAGTTATCCTGTATATTCTCAAACACAATTCCCAAACAGATTCGCTTATATTACATTTTCCCACATATCCTAAAAACTTTAAAAACGCCCACAATTTAAATTTAATGAAATAAAATGATTTAATCACACAAAATCCAACTTAATTTGATGAACTATAGATGTCTATTAATGGGAAAGCCCTCTGTCGTGATATTGCTGAAACAGTGCTAATATCGACGTTATACCATGCATATTTATCCACTTCGTCATATTTCTTGCAAAGCAACAGTGCTTAACACATATAAACTTACAGTGCTTAACACATATAAACTTACAAACTGAAATCGTATCAGTTTATGAAACGCGACGGTCTCTATGGGAGCGTCGAGTTTACGTAAAATAAACTGACGTTCAAAAGAAAGTACACACCTGATTCTTTGGTAAAATATTGTCTTGAAAACAGCATTAATATTTAAAAAGTGTTTTGATTCTGCCTTGTCACAAACATTGTACAAGTGTTTCCAAAACACCACAGAGATTGTACCCAATTACAACATTGCCAGCAAAATATTTATGGTTTTATTGGGAATAGTCCCAAAACACCAGGTGTGTACTTTCTTATGCACGTCAGTATAGATGAAATCGAGATAAAGCATGTTCATCATATGGACCGTTTCCGTGGAGAGTGGAAAGAGTGAATCCCAGAGAGCGGTAGGTTGTTGGTTCCGTTACCGACCGCGTCTTACCAAAATACGCTAAGATATGGTACTTGATGCTACCCTGCCTAATTAAGTGAATTAAACAAGGACTGGTCCACTGGGTGTCAATATCCGTGTCTGAGTTGTACGTACATCTATGTTAAACGGAAGCATTGTATCTCAGTGGCATAGCAGTATAGAACTGTTTGTTTGTTTATTTGTTTGTTTAACGCCGCACTCAGCAATATTCCAGCTACATGGCGGCGGTCTGTAAATAATCGAGTCTGGACCAGACAATCCAGTGATCAACAGCATGAGCACCGATCTACACAAGCTGGATTCGATGACATGGGTCAACCCAGTCCTGTTAGTCGCCTCTTACTGCAATGAACTATGGAACTGACATTAGTGCTGAGTAGTACTACTACGCACGCACACGCGCACGCACACGCACATACACACGTCGCTATGTAAATTATGTTTGAATCCAATTTCACCTCACTAGTGGTTGACATCTTGCGCATCGTTAAACGCAACTGCGATTAATGTCAACCAAGTCAGCGAGCCTTGCCACCCGATCCCGTTAGTCTCCGCTTACTTCAAGTATGGCTTGCCGAAGACCAATTCTAATCCGGATCTTCACGTGTGTCATCGCGGTACGTGTTAACTGACAGATAAACCAGCGCCATACAATTAGTGCTACATTCAGTGGTCTGTACTAGTGCTGCCATATTGTCAGAGCCAAGCCCCATTTACTTATTTTCTCCCTGTGGATATATGCAAATGTCCTTCCGGGTAATATAGTAATGTTCACTATTATATTGTGATTCTCTGCCGACTGATGTGGAGAGAACCAGTCTTACTGCACAAGCACAAGATCCTGATGATCGAACTGCACTTGCCAAAGTAGAATCAGATACAATCAAACTGAACAATAAAAACATGAAATATTGATGTCAAGGAATGCAAGGTGCATCAAATATTCTAAAATCCGTTTCTTCTAGCGTTTCTATATAGATAAAGCATACTTGCTACAACATACAATGTGCGCAACTTAAATATGTATGAGTGAGTGAATATTGATTTAATCCTAAAACGGTAATATTCCAGGGATATTTGTATGGTTCAGACAAGTTGGTAACTGATAACATAAGACATGGCCCGCGTCATGGGGTCACTATTGCCATTCGACATGTTAGAGAGCCTGACCATCAGATAACCACATTAACGAGTCAGTGAGTTTAGTTTTACGCCGCTTTTAGCAATATTCCGGCATCATCACGGCGGGAGACACCAGAAATGGGCTTCACACATTGTACCCATGCGGGGAATCGAACCCGAGTCATCGGCTTGACGAGCTAACGCTTTAACCACTAGGCTACCCCACCGCCCCAGTAGCCTAATGGTTAAAGTGTCCGCTCGTCACGCTCAAGACCCGGGTTCGATTCCCCACATAGATACAACATGTGAAGCCCATTTCTGGTGTACCATGGGATGTTACAGACACAATGACTTTATCCGCTCATGTATCATACAATACTATATGCATCACGTTTTCGGCTCAGTTCATACACATTAGAGATATAACGCGGTCGACATTTTAATATGTAGAAAAATGTAAAGATTGTAACTTATTTATTTTTGTTCATTTTGCCAGCTTATTTTTGATACAAGACACATTATATGAATGAGCACATCCATATCAAGTGTCTAATATTACCCTACCAACTTCTAAATGCCTATCAAACATCTGAGCTTATTTCTGGGAAAGATACGTAAAACCTTTAAAATCTTTCACGTGTTCCCAAATATTTTGAATTTTTGTTACGTTGTTGTCTGATCATCAATATGAACACAGAAAAGTACTTGTTTCATGCGAATGCTGTTAGAACACAAATAGAACAGCGTTGATCACATGCAAATTTTGTAAAAGAGCTATTGTTAAGGAACCCCTAAACGATATGTTGTATTTGATATCTCTTCCGAAATATTGTTGTATATTATTTAGAGGAAATGAATTCGGAAAAGTCTAGAGTTCAAGGGGATTGCAATCTAAAGCATTTGTGCATTTGTTGTACTCCTGTCATGTACACCTCGCGAGAGATCGATCAACATACAACATACAGCAAAATGCCCGGCCAACATCTGCAGTGCCACAGCAAACAGATCGACCAACATGTTCAATGTCTAGCGGAGTTTGAGAAAACTGTTCAATAGCCACATTCACCTCCGGCAACCTGCTTCACGATGAATCTCTGACCATCACGTGTAGGACAGACAGATTACATTGTCATCTACATAAAGGTATACTGTAATATGCTGCATCCCAACATATCTATGTCATAACGATGTTACTGTACTCTACATGGGGTACATCTGAATTATGCTGCATCCCAACATATTGAGGCCATACTGGTCACCTGTACTCTACATGTGACATAGCTGAAATGTGCTGCATCTCAACATATCCCAAACATGGGATACAGCTGCATCCCAACATATCTAGGCCAAACAGATGATGCTGTACTCTACATGGGATACAGCTGAAATATGCTGCATCCCAACATATGTAGGCCAAACAGATGATGCTGTACTCTACATGGGATACAGCTGAAATATGCTGCATCCCAACATATGTAGGCCAAACAGATGATGCTGTACTCTACATGGGATACAGCTGAAATATGCTGCATCCCAACATATCTAGGCCAAACAGATGATGCTGTACTCTACATGGGATACAGCTGAAATATGCTGCATCCCAACATATCTGGGCCACAACGATGATACTGTACTCTACATGGGATACAGCTGAAATATGCTGCATCCCAACATATCTGGGCCACAACAGATGATACTGTACTCTACATGGGATACAGCTGAAATATGCTGCATCCCAACATATTTAGGCCAACCAGATGATGCTGTACTCTACATGGGATACAGCTGAAATATGCTGCATCCCAACATATTTAGGCCAACCAGATGATGCTGTACTCTACATGGGATACAGCTGAAATATGCCGCATCCCAACATATCTAGGCCAAACAGATGATGCTGTGCTCTACATGGGATTCAGCTGAAATATGCTGCATCCCAACATATTTAGGCCAACCAGATGATGCTGTACTCTACATGGGATAATGCTGAAATATGCTGCATCCCAACATACCTGGGCCACAACGATGATACTGTACTCTACATGGGATACAGCTGAAATATGCTGCATCCCAACATATTTAGGCCAAACCAGATGATGCTGTACTCTACATGGGATACAGCTGAAATATGCTGCATCCCAACATATTTAGGCCAACCAGATGATGCTGTGCTCTACATGGGATACAGCTGAAAAATGCTGCATCCCAACATATCTAGGCCAAACAGATGATGCTGTGCTCTACATGGGATACAGCTGAAATATGCTGCATCCCAACATATTTAGGCCAACCAGATGATGCTGTACTCTACATGGGATACAGCTGAAATATGCTGCATCCCAACATATTTAGGCCAACCAGATGATGCTGTACTCTACATGGGATACAGCTGAAATATGCTGCATCCCAACATATCTAGGCCAAACAGATGATGCTGTGCTCTACATGGGATACAGCTGAAATATGCTGCATCCCAACATATTTAGGCCAACCAGATGATGCTGTACTCTACATGGGATAATGCTGAAATATGCTGCATCCCAACATACCTGGGCCACAACGATGATACTGTACTCTACATGGGATACAGCTGAAATATGCCGCATCCCAACATATTTAGGCCAACCAGATGATGCTGTACTCTACATGGGATACAGCTGAAATATGCCGCATCCCAACATATCTAGGCCAAACAGATGATGCTGTAGCTCTACATGGGATACAGCTGAAATATGCTGCATCCCAACATATTTAGGCCAACCAGATGATGCTGTACTCTACATGGGATAATGCTGAAATATGCTGCATCCCAACATACCTGGGCCACAACGATGATACTGTACTCTACATGGGATACAGCTGAAATATGCTGCATCCCAACATATGTAGGCCAAACAGATGATGCTGTACTCTACATGGGATACAGCTGAAATATGCTGCATCCCAACATATTTAGGCCAACCAGATGATGCTGTAGCTCTACATGGGATACAGCTGAAAAAATGCTGCATCCCAACATATCTAGGCCAAACAGATGATGCTGTACTCTACATGGGATACAGCTGAAATATGCTGCATCCCAACATATCTGGGCCACAACGATGATACTGTACTCTACATGGGATACAGCTGGAATATGCTGCATCCAAACATATCTGGGCCACAACGATGTTACTGTACTCTACATGGGGTACATCTGAATTATGCTGCATCCCAACATATTGAGGCCATACTGGTCACCTGTACTCTACATGTGACATAGCTGAAATGTGCTGCATCTCAACATATCCCAAACATGAGATACAGCTGCATCCCAACATATCTAGGCCAAACAGATGATGCTGTACTCTACATGGGATACAGCTGAAATATGCCGCATCCCAACATATCTGCGCCACAACGATGATACTGTACTCTACATGGGATACAGCTGAAATATGCTGCATCCCAACATATCTAGGCCAAACAGATGATGCTGTACTCTACATGGGATACAGCTGAAATATGCTGCATCCCAACATATCTGGGCCACAACGATGATACTGTACTCTACATGGGATACAGCTGGAATATGCTGCATCCCAACATATCTGGGCCACAACGATGATACTGTACTCTACATGGGATACAGCTGAAATATGCCGCATCCCAACATATCTGGGCCACAACGATGATACTGTACTCTACATGGGATACAGCTGGAATATGCTGCATCCCAACATATCTGGGCCACAACGATGATACTGTACTCTACATGGGATACAGCTGGAATATGCTGCATCCCAACATATCTGGGCCACAACGATGATACTGTACTCTACATGGGATACAGCTGAAATATGCTGCACCCAACATATCTAGGCCACAACGATGATACTGTACTCTACATGGGATACAGCTGAAATATGCCGCATCCCAACATATCTAGGCCACAACGATGATACTGTACGCTACATGGGATACAGCAATATGCTGCATCCCAACATATCTAGGCCACAACGATGATACTGTACTCTACATGGGATACAGCTGAAATATGCTGCATCCCAACATATGCCAAACATGGGATACAGCTGCAGACCAACATATTTAGGCCATACAGATGATGCTGTTATTACATGGGATTTTAGAATGTGGTCAAATCCCAACATGAAATATGCTGCATCAAATTGTAGTGCTCTTTGGGTTATATTCGAACTCATACAGATGATGCAGTACTCTACATGGGATACAGCTGAAATATGCTGCATCCCAACATATAACTTGCCATAGGATGCATACTCTAGCCCGTACTGTACGCTGCATCCAACATATTGAAAGATGATGCGAAGGAATGAATGCGTCTCGAACAGATTGTACCGTACTCTATTTTTGGAATCAGATGAAATAAGCTGTATCCTCTGTTAATTGCGTTTACTTAACATAATCTGGCCACCACTGGTAATTACTTTAGAAGGCAGCTTAGGGCAGCTTAGGCGCAAGACTATATCGGACTTGAAATCAACAAAGGGGTTGTCATTGCAGGATGTCGATCAGCAATCAATGACAGGCAAGTCAGCTTAATGGACATTTTCGACCTGGGTTCAACTGCCAGGAAAACAAAGATATTTTTCTAAGGTGGTGCGTTACCACACAGGTCTGAGAGAACGGTGTCTTTTTTCAATATCACGCATTCCTATATTGGTATTCACCAAGTGGCCGTCTTTTTCGTTTACATTTAAATGTCGATTATCTGGAAGGTAATCTATGACCAACGTGCCAATGTGTATGTCAAGTCAATTATTCTAGAGCTGTACCAATGTTTTTGCTTAATTAGGTAATTATTGAAATATTTAATATTAGCAAAGGAAAACACATTAGCGTTAAGTATATTCTTTAGGTTAATTAGTTCATAGCAAATGCGTCTGTTTCGCCCACGTAAATTGAAGTTATTGGTTTACTTTACACACTTGCACATCTTGCAGGGCCCTAAACCAGCATGGTGACACGAGAGGGGTCCGTATATATCGTCATCGGTGACGTCATGGTTGGCGCCAGATGTAGGCGTCTGTCCAAGACAGCTGGTGGTTTCAGTGACGACTGACAATATACCAGCAGGGAATACGGTATTATACAACAGATGAGATATGACCTCAGAAACTACGAAACCCTGGAGCTGCTCGTCTTGCAGCATAAATAATGATCATCTTAATCCAAATTTCTCGTTGCTCCGATTTTTTCTCCTTGCTTCGATTATTTCCTCCTTGCTACGATTATATTGTCGCTATTTCAATTATTTTCACGAAATTTCGAAATGTCATTGAAGGCATGGACGCTATGAGTGAGTGAGTGAGTTTAGTTTTACGCCGCACTCAGCAATATTCCAGCTTTATGGCGGCGGTCTGTAAAAGTCGAGCCTGGACCAGACAATCCAGTGATCAACAGCATGAGCATCGATCTGCGCAATTGGAAACCGATGACATGTGTCAACCAAGTCAGCGAGCCTGACCACCCGATCCCGTTAGTCGCCTCTTACGACAAGCATAGGTTACTGAAGATCAATTCTAACCCGGATCTTCAGGGGTCCATGGATGCTATGTTTAGTGATTCATGTACAGCTTTAATTAACCAAGCAACGTAGTTGGGGGTTGGGGTTGGTTGGGTGTTTTGGGTAAAACCGACGCTACGCACCCGAAACTACTATTAAAAATAGAGACCAGTTTTGTACATGAGCATATGCAATACGCCAACATGATACCGATTCCTTACTTGCAATTGTCAGGAATGCTGCCCCCCACGTAATGCTCCATATCCATCCCAGCAGGAACAAGAACGTCGTAAGAAACTGTAGTAGAGCAACACCGGCGTTCACCCACACCACGTTACGTCGACTGGCGCCTTTAGGCCGAACTTCGGAACAGCATAACACGCTAACACCAGAAATGAACGTCCCTGCAACACAGACCAAAATAATAATAATAACAAGCGACATCAACAACAACTACGATGAGCAAGTGAGTTTAGTTTTACGCCGCTTTTAGCAATATTCCAGCAATGGTGGGGACACCAGAAATGGGCTTCACACATTGTACCCATGTTGGGAATCGAACCCGGGGTTTCGGCGTGACGAGCGAACGCTTTAAGCACTAAACTACCCCACGACTACGTTGATGATGATGATAATGATGATGATGATGATGATGATAAACATGGATATTTTTCCTGACTCCTTGTCAAGGGATCTCACTCTGCACTGTGGTACTGAAGGTTTTGAAACTCGTCACAGTAATATATTTAATGTTCAACAGAAAACCGTAACAAATATATATGCTCGTAATTGAGACGCTGAAGCCATAGATGCGCGAATCAACAAAATCCTAACTTTCGTGACATCCCACGGACAACACTGTAAAGATTATATATGGTGTCTTGGCAACATGTACACAATGTTTGCGACTTGCAAGGTACAATCAAAACACTTTTCAAACTTTTTACGTTGGGTTTTTAATTTTCTGTTTATTCTAAAAATCCTTAAACATGATGTGTGTACTTTCTTTTGTACGTCAGTTTAGTAGAATAGTGAGTGAGTGAGTTTAGTTTTACGCGCTCAGCAATATTCCAGCTATGGCGGCGGTCTGTAAATAATCGAGTCTGGACCAGACAATCCAGTGATCAACAGCATGAGCATCGATCTACGCAATTGGGATACGATGACATGTGTCAACAAAGTCAGCGAGCCTGACCACCCGATTGTTACAACAAGCATGGGTTACTGAAGATCAGTTCTAACCCAGTTCTACTATTCACGGGTCGTTTAGTAGAATAAGAATGATGCAGAATTGAAAGCTGACAGTAAATTCAATAATCTCCCCCTGCGGTCGAAGACGTACAGTGAGCATTGACACGTTCTGTTTAATTTCTAAACTACGCATGGCTTCGATCAATTATTAATCAATTCTGTTCTGGAACCCATTACAGAGTATATTACGCAATGCCATGGCACGACCGACATATAGATCAATCTGACATAGACACGCTAAATATACACCCACCATCTTCAAGACATGCGCATTTCCAATATAGCGTTGTCATATGGGGTGAGTGAGTTTAGTTTTACGCAGCACTCAGCAATATTCCAGCTATATGGCGGCGGTCTGTAAACAACCGAGTCTGGACCAGACAATCCAGTGATCAACAGCATGAGCATCGATCTGCGCAATTGGGAACCGATTTCATGTGTCAACCAAGTCAGCGAGCCTGACCACCCGATCCCGTTAGTCGCCTCTTCCGACAAGCATGGGTTACTGAAGATCAATATTCTAACCTGGATCTTCACCTCACCGTTGTCATATGGATACGGGCATATCACTTATACATGTAAATATACATGCTAATTGCACGGAGCATAGGGCCATCTGCATAGCAAACATAAACAACCTTTGCTAACGACTGTCAGTCACGAATGATTGATTGCAATGTACAGCAAGTGATCAGGTACAATATCAATACCTTATGCCTACCCGTGCCCCCGGGGTGAAATAAATTAGCGACATTGTGTCACTAAGTGGTCTCTGCAGGCTTGGAGGTGTGATTAATAAGAAAGTATTTGAACTCCACTGTAACCTGTGAATGTCTATAGCTGTCAAACACGCGGCTAATTAATCGATATCAGTACGATGTCAATTTCAGGCTCCTTGGTGTGCTTTGTGTCTGTGAATATTTCTATGACTGAAGGATATTAATAAGGTTTCTTGTAATATGTCCCGTAAATATCAGTGTTGAGTTGACAATTATGAATTTTACAGATAAACGGGTGTAGCAATACGTAGTCTCTCTCTCCCTCTTTCTCTCTCTGTGTGTCTCTGTCTCCCTCTCTCTCCCTCTTTCTCTCTGTGTGTCTGTCTCTCTCTTTTTCTCTATGTCTCTCCCCCTCTCTCTTTCTCGCTCTCTCTTAATCTTCCCCGCCCCCGTCTCCCCTCTCTCTCTCTCTCTCTCTCTCTTAATCTTCCCCGCCCCCGTCTCCCCTCTCCTCTCTCTCTCTCTCTCTCTCTCTCTCTCTCTCTCTCTCTCTCTCTCTCTCTCTCTCTCTCTCTCTCTCTCTCTCTCTCTCTCTCTCTCTCTCTCTCTCTCTCTCTCTCTCTCTCTCTCTCTCTCTCTCTCTCTCTCTCTCTCGGATCATGGCCGAACACGTATGCATTCCTTCGTTGAAGATCTGAGCAAGTCAGACATTATCATTTCAGTTAATCCCATAAACAGGATCCTGGTTCTGCAGGACGTAAATGACTATTTGTGTTAAGTAGGTATGAAAATATCAAAATACCTTAAAAGACACTACTGCTAAGAGTATGGATTGAAAAGCCTTGAAGAAACGACGATTTCCTATTAGATTGTTTGACACGAGGTAGCCCCACAGACAAAGACAAACAACTATTGTTTGTTTTACAATAAGATCGATATATACCTTTACCTTAAGTTCAGATCAATATAGGTCTAGACTCACGCCTGGGAGCACAAACAATAACTGTTGTTCTTCTTCCCTCCTTTTTTCATTACAAATACATGTCTGAGCATGCCCTAGGAACGGTGCCCGCCTCCTAATGTGTTATGGTATTAATCGGTGTTTGTCGTATCCTGGCAACTGACGTCAACAACATGACCATGACATGTCCTGTTTGGATTCTGTGACGTAATGTTCTTGTAGGGTGCTTCAAAGGTTAATTTGAACACAGGAAGGTGGGTGTGGTCTTCCGTAAACTTGGCTGAAACACCTGAGATACGGAGGCAGGTAATGATTGATTTGTTGATGAATTACCTGACGAGTTTCTATTTTCTTGGTGGAACAGGAAGAGTTTGTGTTTAAAGAGTTCATGCACTGAAAAGAATTAAAAAGACCAGAGGAAAATATGATACATGCTGTTGTTCAAAATAAACTATTGATTTTCTATCATGTCGCTTTCATCCACTCATTGTATTCTAAATATTGTCATGTTAATTTCACTGACTTTCCACTGATGGTGTAAATGTGACAAAGATTGTCTTGTTTGGGTCATCCTGACACTATTGTGTACAGCATTAAAGACCTGTCAAGGTCCGGGTTAGGATATGGGCCTTCAGTAACCCAATTCAGTCGTAAGAGGCGACTAACGGGATCGGCGTAAAACTCAACTCACTCACTCACAACATTAAACCATTAAACTTCTCATACCATGCAGTATATATCTTGTCTATACATTGTGAACTATCTTGTCTACACTATGACCGCCCTTGTGCATGTACCAAGTCAGCAATCTTGCATACACTGTGCCAAATGTCTATACTTGGCCATGCCAACTATCTCAGTCTTTGGCGTCCACCACTCCTATCTTCACTATGTTGCAGAGTCAAAACATTGATTACACAACAGTCTCGTATCCTGTTGACTGGGTTCCGTCCTATTGCGCAACTTAGTACAATAACCAGTCCAGAATTTTGAGGCCAATTCATTTAACTGGATGCATACATATTAATCGGTATTATTTGATACATCTAAGCACTTGTATATTGCAACACTACGCTCCTTCTAATCCTTGCTAACACGTCGTGCAGCGTGCTTTGTCGTACAACGAGATCTGACAAAACGGAAACCTGGAAATCGTGGAAATCTCAAAACGAGGCTCTGCCGCTAGAAAATTGATATTATATCAATCACATTGGCGATACAGAACTGGCGCAAAAACACATAACAGGTGTAAGTGAGCCAGATAAATTGTGAATCATCGAATCAAACAGAGGCAGTTGTGACGTCTATACATGCTGAACCTCACATAAAATATAAAATACGATGTTATTAAAGTTTAAAATTAAAATTCATTTGTAAATACTATTTTCTTATGAAACAAGGTTGTAGTGTAACCATAGTTGATGTCTATTTTCAGAGAAATTGTGAATCTTTTCTGAATAGGTTAATGAGACTCATGTTTCGGTTTACTTGTCCATGTTTCTATTTTTAAATTAAATTTTAGTATGTTTTACAGAATAAACATATAAAATGTGTTTCGGGTGACCCTGGCGCAGGGAGGCTGGTCTGGCTCATCATCAGCTAAGCCCAATGAGCCACCTACAAGACAAGACAGCAAATGGGACTTCTACAAGGAAGCGCTGCCTTGTCGAACCCTAGAAAAGCATTTCGGAGAATGTGAAGACTACCAATCACTGCAGCCTTGTGCATTACCCGTAGTGTTCCTGGCAGCATACTAGCTCTCCCGACAGGTACTCTCCCGAAATCCTTCAAGTGACTGGAGGTACCAAACCCAACGCACCAAAACGATTGGGGAGTCTAATCACTTCTTTTTGGAATGCAAGCGTGGCATTTCGTGATGGGGGATCCACATTTTTACCATATTTCTCCTGGATCTTGTCGGACCGCCTCCGTGGTGTAGTGCGTCCGCCCGAAGAGCGGAAGGTTGCGGGTTCGATCCCCGGCCGCGTCATACCAAAAGACGTTAAAGTATGGTACTATACTAGCTAGTTGGCCCCTGCCTGGCGCTCGGCATTAATGGGTACAAGGACTGGTCGGCTCGCGGAGTCAGTATAATGTATCTGAGTGGGGTATTCATGCTAAACTGCGGCATGGTATCTCAGCTTAGGTCTAGGCTAGTACAAGCGGCCACACATACACACGCATGCACGTCGTCATATGAGCGACGTTAAAGTACGACGTTAAACCCCATTTCACGTCACCTTCACCTGAATCTTGTCAATCACATTAGTGTCAGTTGTTATTATTGGCTGGAAAATGCTGCTGTATCTCAGTATCTCCATCATGTAATGAAGCGCTGGCCTACTCTGTGATTCCCAGTTTATATATGACATCCATTCCTGAAAACAGCCGGTAAAATGAGTGCTACTGGTAAATGATCATACCGGTTTGTGTTTGTCGGAGGAATAACACGACTGTAGTTCCTCCAAGGATC